ACATGAAGACAGAATGGATGTTTTATATGATGTTTACCCACTGTTTGATTAATTATCACATCCAGAATATAGAGGCAATTGATGCTATCCTTTTAGCATATCTTTGCGCATAAATATTAAAATATAGTAAGATATATTCTCTAACTATATATGATTCACTAAGAAATATATGTCGTTTGCGAGTAAAGGTTTTTTAAAAAATCTGTTGTCCCCACATTCCATATAGTGCAGTAGATATATTAAAATCCTAACTAAAGACTTTCTATACTTCTCTCACAAGGGGAAAAAAACTGATATAAGGCTGCTAAATACACTTAACTTTCCCTTGCAGCAGACGAGGCTCAAGTTTCACCTACCTTCCTCTTCCTCGAGACCCTCATGCTACTAATTTCATCTCCCAAGACAAAGCTGTAGACCTGTAGACATCCATGTTCACTACCAGTTTTCTTAAGTGACTATGAGAAATATATATTCGCGGAAGGATCGGTAAAATGGGCGAGTTGACTCCTCGCTTTGTACGATTTATAGAAAAGCCGAAGAAATCGGTAACTGGCAAACTTCCACCGAGTTGAATGCTCTCTCGTGCTATTGATCACATATAGCATAGTAAAGTGATGCGATGTGGTGTCCTCTCTAGTGGTTCAGAACCTGTCTTCATACCTAATGTAGATTCTGAACTAAATCAGAGTTTTGCAATGTTGATGCATCATATAATCAATTGGATGTGAATAAAGTGAAGTTTCAAGTACAATTTGTGTAGGTTCCCTCTTATCTTTTACTCTCTTACAGATAACTTCATTGCACATATTGACCCCCTTAACAGTAAAAATGCCTAAGCAATTCTACAAATAACCCAATGAAATTGAATTAACGTCTCAGATACCCGAAAACATAATCATTAACAATGCTGTGTGTAGAAGAGTTAAGATAAAGGTAACATACGGAAAAGGCAAACTTGGAAGTGTGACGTTAGTGTTCGAATTAGAAATGGACAGAGTCTTTACGTTTATGTAATAAGTCAGTGACATACCTGGCAAGAGTTATGGTACTGATTACCATATTTTGCCAATGATGAAATGCTCCAGGACATCCACACACATAGACAGAGAGAGAGAGAGAGAGAGAGAGAGAGAGAGAGAGAGTGAGAGTGAGAGCGAGAGCGAGAGCGAGAGTGAGAGCGAGAGTGAGAGTGAGAGTGAGAGTGAGAGTGAGAGTGAGAGTGAGAGGGAGAGTGAGAGTGAGAGTGAGAGTGAGGTGAGAGCGAGAGCGAGAGCGAGAGCGAGAGCGAGAGCGAGAGAGAGGAGAGCGGAGAGCAAGAGCAAGAGCAAGAGCAAGAGCAAGAGCGAGAGAGAGAGAGAGAGAGAGAGAGAGAGAGAGAGAAGAGTACTCGATACATAAAGTGGACAATCATTTTGTCGAATTTTGAGAGAGAGAGAGAGAGAGAGAGAGAGAATAGGAGAGAGAGAGAGAGAGAGAGAGAGAGAGAGAGAGAGAGAGAGAGGAGAGAGAGAAGAAGAGAGAGAGAGAGAGAGAGAGAGCGAGAGAGAGAGAAGAGAGAGGAGTACTCGATAATATATAAAGTGGACAATCATTTTGTCGAATTTTGATTCAACAAAATATCAAGGAATCGCGGCAGTCCTTCGTCCGCATCCAAGGAGTCGGAAAGAGAGGAGCTTACGAGACCAGCAATGAGAAATAAATCTGGGTCGGTGCCACGTGTCAGAAACGTGTTTTTGAGTTTTTTTTTTTTTTTCCATCTGACCCTTTTTGGACCTCTTCACAAGAACAGTCTCAAAATAGAGGCTCAACCACACTCGCACTTTTCCTTCATTTTTTGCGTTTCCGCGTAAAATTGACTTTCCGCATGTAACGCTGGCATACACTTGAAGGATATTTGAAGGAATCGCGTCAGTGCCTTCGTCTACATCCAAGCAGTCGGAAAAGGGGAGGAGCTTACGAGATCATTCATCAACCTCCCTAATTGAATGGTGAATGGTTAATGTTTTAAAAAATAAATGTGCTCGACATCAAAGGTCATATATCACTACGGTAAAGTATTGTGGTAAAGGGTTTAAAGTAGTTCTTTATTAGAACAAACTGTATTAGATTTCAGCGGTCATATGGCATTGTAAGATAGTATGGTAGTGAAAGGGTAAAGAGATGATGTGATGTTAGTCAACATGGCAATATTTGCTATTGCTACCTTGGCAATGTGATGGGGTCATACTTTTTGCATACGGAAACAAAAAAACTGATGCAAAAAGTTTGATGTGATTGGGCCTTTAATAAATACAAATATACAAAGATATATATGTAGTTATATTTTGGATAGTTTCATAAACCTTTAATTTTCAGTGATTTGCTGAAGTTAAATCCCATCGGATTCTGGTTACCAAGCATTTTCAGTATGTATATGATCAGATTTGTTTTTTTCAATAATAAGACTTCCACAGCCTCTTCTCTTTCGGTTTTCTCAGGTGTAAACGTTTGAGGAAACCGAGATGTGTAACATTTTCCTCCTTTACATTTACACGATAGATCAGGAATGTATAAAACATTTTTACATAGTATAATAAAATCACATATGGAACTGACAAAAAATCATATCTTTATTTATTTTTCATAAAAACAGTGTCCTTCCAGATCAGTTGTAGAGGTCTATACACATGCTATGAAAAGTGAACTGTAATAACAAATCAAGTATTCTCTTCTCTGGTTACATACTGCATCATGCTTTAATTTTAATCTTTTCCTGTTCCAAAATTTTATCATATTAAAAGACAGACTATTCATTTTTTCTATTTGCAGTCTATGGAGTGTGTATAGCATTGCATTTTTTTTTACTTATCACAATTCTTCATTATTTCGAAATGGTTAATGATCAATAGTTAAAACAAATAAATCTGTTCAATTCTTTAGAAAACAGGAAATGTAATACTTATAAAACTCCAAATAATGTCAGAGACACGTCAGTCAAGAGAGATAATAATACATTAAAATTTGTGTGTTTGTTTATATTTTATTTCCTTTATATTGTATGCAAATGTAAGCCTTTTACTAAAAGTGAAAATACATGGAATTCTCCAAGAGAACAATACCTCCTTTCTGCTCAATGTCTGCTTTAGCAAAACGTACACATCGTCAAACATTTTACAAAATTGCTGCGTACCTATTTACTTTTATTCATTTGGAGGGGTTTTCAGAAATCATACTAAAATGGTTTCATCACAAATAACTATTTACATCCATACTTCAAACACAACCAAACTTTGGGCAAATACAAACAGAAATCTGGCATGATCCTGGCACAAAATAACAGCGAACACGACAGAAAATTAGCTGGTCTTGCAATTGTACTTTGCATTTTTCTTTGTGCACTTCTGGTGACCAAGAATTTATGGCTTTACAATAATGCATAAAAATGTTTATTTCATTAAAAAAAAGATGATAATAAATATATACATAAATTAGATTCTAGGGAAATGTGGCCCATCATATAAAATGATTGAACACCGACTATGTTCCCGAACAGGTACATGTGATCAAAGTCACGGCAAGTCTGCGTCCTTAAGACCACTAGAGGAAAGTACGGGTATTAAAACTTGAAGAAAAGAAAAAAAGAAAAAGAAAAAAAAAAAAACTCAATTATTACAAGATGGCATTCCCTGTGGCCATCAGATCTCACCATCGCACTTCTCTAAGGTCTTACTTGGCAAACTCGTCCTCAGTCGTACTGGGGTCTTCAAAAAAAGTTGTGAGTGGGTCAGTGAGCCAGAAAACTCTATTGTAAATGTTCCTCAATCTTGCTAAGCTAAATGAAGAAAAAATCATATGACATTCCTATCTTTTCTCTCAATTTTCTATTAATCTGCCAGGCTACCAGCCTGGTTGAATAAAATTACAATAAGTAAAACAGTTGAAGAACACATAGCTGTGTCTACAGGCAGGTTATTACTAGCTATGCAACTGACGAGAACATTCGACCAAAGAACACCTTCGTCTATTGGTTTTCTGGGATTCCAGCCAGTCAGATCTTCTCTAAGTCTTTGCCCACGTCTGTCTATTGAGTCATTTCCTAAGTCTTTTGACTTATATTTCTTATGAGGTTTTCCAGAGCAGTTCTTACCATTTATCTATATATTCAATATATATAAATATTTAAAGAAAAAAAATAATGTTCAATAAAAAAAGTCAATGGTAAGAATGAAAACCATCATCTCACATTAGTATTGATAGGCATAGCTGTGATGCAATACCAATACCTACATTTATAAATTATTAAAAAAATCATTATAATGAAAGTGATGAGATGGCAATGATTAATACAAAAATGATAGTAGTACCAATAATAATAATCATAAGTATACTAATACCATTAACAACAATAGTAATTATAGTAGTAACATTACTAGTGGAAGCTGTAATGCTCAATGTGGTTGTAGGAAATCAACTTTTAAGATCTTGATAAATTGGTCACTTCTTAACTTCTCAATACTCTACAAAAATGACAATACAGAAAACAAGTTTCCAGCAAGGACATTCATCTACCAATGGAAGAAACCTCCATTATCTTTTAAAAATATTAATATAACAAAAAAAAAAAAAAAAAAAGTTTCTATAGCAATAAGAAGTTACATCTTTACAGACCACAAGGCAACATGGTAATAGTTAGAAAAAATTAATTCATAATAAATATAAAGAAACAAAATCATCCTGACAACACTGACAAACGCAAAATGAACCAAATTTCCAAACCTCTCTACAGAACTGAAATGGAACAATGTCTTTTTTGTTCATTCTTTCTTTTATTCTAATTCAAAATTCTGCATAGTGGGACACCAACTTGGATGATAATCTACTTACAATTGAACACAGCTACAAAACTATTGTAGGTGGAAATGGAATGTGAAATCGACACACCAAACCAAAAGTCCTACAGGCCTTGTTCGTATTGGACGAGGTATCAGTCACTACCACACCATACTGTAGTCGGTTATATAGGAACAGGACAGGGGGTGGAGGGTGACACTATATAGGCTCTAGCGATTAAGGTTAGGATATATATATATATATTTCTTTACAGGGCACTTCTGAAAATGTGTTCTGAGGTTATTCATCACAATCTTCTTTTCATCCTGTTTCCCAAATTTCCGGACCCTTGGCTTTACAGTAGAATTCTATATAGAACTTTCATGAATAGCTGATCAAACAACAGTTTCCAGTGCAATTACAAAACACTTTGCTTCTTTTTAATCATTTGTATACATCAATTTATACAGACTTTTGAACACTAGAACCATACTTTTGGTATCACAATATACAGGGACAGTGTAGGAATAGTATACATTTACTTCTAATACTGAGGTATCCACTTGGTACAAAAACTGATCATATATATCTTACCAAATAGTGGTTCACAATCTAAACTACACCTAATACTTGTAGCCATGATAGCTATGGCTCTCCTTCATGAAATGTGAAAACCATCCATTCATTAATTCTCACCACAACAACATGAAGTACTCAAAAATTCACAATACCTACACCTACACCTTGCTTAATCTCATGAAAAAAAAATAAAATAAAATAATGTAAGAAATTAAAAAATCCCACAGCTATCAATTCTAGACAAATCATTCTGATGGAAGGCAGGTGGGGGGGGGGGGGATTCTATTAGCAGAGGTCATGGCATAAGGAAGGACAAAGGGAGGAGTCAGGGGATGGTGAAGTGAGGAAGAGGAGAAGGGCGGGTGAGGAAGGAGGACCATTCACATATACACAATAGACATCATGTATTTAATCCCTAGAAGGTCACCTGTGAAGTCACTCGTACACATCGGCCTTTGAGGGCCCAGTCATTGGCTAGTTTTGATACAATGAAGTGTTTTGACGTCACTGGGAGCATGACTGTTGGTGGATGTCTAAAAAGGTTACAGGGAGTTGGTTTGTTGGATCGTTGGTTGGTTAGGGTAGTAGTATGTCGCTGTGTTGGCTGTCCGTAACTGTCCGTAGTGTAGTCGGCGTAGTCACGATGTCAACACTCTGCTGTGGAAATGAGATAATTCTGTGAAGTCAAAGAACAGCCATACATATATAGAGAGATTATATACATTTACAGGCCAGAACTTTCTTTAAGCTGATATTCAAAATTTTTACTTCCATTATCCCTTAAAACACACACTACTGTAATATTAAAGCATAAAAAGATCTGCCAAAGACATATTTTCAGATTCTTAAGCCTGGCCAAGAATGTTGACAAGAAAAAACAACAATGAAAAAAAAAAAAAAAAAAAAAAGCAAAACTGACTCCATATCAAATTCTCTACTTGATGGACAAGAACGAAAAATAATTCATGAAAGATAAATGACAAAATATTTCACTGAGAATTTCCATTAAAAAAGAAAGTAAATCCCAGGTCTAACACATCACTGAAATACAGATTTCAGGGAGTGCACAATAAAACATGTTGCGGGAAAACCAACAGACAATTTTACCCGTCACCAATCATGCTCTGAGAGTAAGACAAGTGCCATGCTGCTGACAATAGGGTTGGGTTCAGGTAATATTGCACCTGCAAGAGCAAAGTCTGTTACCCACACATTTGACTAAACTCATCCACAAGAGGATTAAAAAAGATAAAACATTAATAACAATCATAATGGTTAACATCCCTTTGGATGAAGACAATATTTTAGGTAATGCTAACCACCTTATAAAGAGCACATGAATTAATGTATAAATACTGCCACTGAAGCCTTGTTCAAGTTCATTTTCAATACCAAAGGTGTGGTATGAATTCAAAGTATTGTTTCTTCACTCAAAGTCCTCTCATTATGGCAACTGACTAAAGAATTGCAGGATTACATTCAATTATTTACCAGGAATATGCCTAAGAAAAAATATAACACCATAAAAAGAAGGTTAATACTATCACAAATGTACACTTTACTTACTGTATATATATATATATATATATATATATATATATATATATATATATATATATATATATATATATATATATATATATATATACCACATTTGTAAAATATTTGCAAATAAAGTTAGTTCTCTTTAAATATGTATTTGGCAAAATATGTACATCATCTATTTTTACTACTTTACAATCCTACTAATAACGATAAAAGTCATTCATTGCAAGGGGAACTGGTTGCATTTTGGTCTCTATTTTCAGTCCTTTCCTTTACCAAAGCATGTACATGTACCTGAAAGCATATCTTCTGACTTGCAGAGGTATGAGTGAATGATTGTGTAAATGTAAAGCGAATGGGCAGGTAAACACCTACCGACAATGGAACTCTCAATTAAACCTAGTGTAGAATCAGTGTCTTATTATGATAAGCTGATTATTTGATAGGGGGAGGGGGAGGGGGAGGGGGAGGGGGAGGGGAGGGAGGAGGAGGGGAGAACGGGAGGAGGGAGGGGCAGGGGAGACAGAGGCAGAGGAGAGGAGAGAGAGAAGAGTGTGTGAAATAGCATGAGAGTATGAGTATGAGTGTGAGAGTGTGAGTATGAGTATGAGTGTGAGAGTGTGAGTATGAGTGAGAGTGTGAGTATGAGTGAGTATGAGAGTGTGAGGAGTGTGAGTGAGTGAGTGAGTGAGTTGAGTGAGTGATGTGAGTGAGTGAGTGAGTGAGTGAGTGAGTGAGTGAGTGAGTGAGTGAGTGAGTGAGTGAGTGAGTGAGTGAGTGAGTGAGTGAGTGAATGAGTGTTTTGCCAACTATGCTATTACTTGCAATAAGAAGCACCATGTGCTCTTCCCAATGCCTGAGGGTTCCACCCAGTCATCAGTAAATGCAATACACATACAAATGATAAATAAAAACTCCAAAACGCAAGTGGTATCCATTAAAAAAGGTTTAAAATGTAAAAACAGTCAATGAGCAAAACATACTGAGTCACATAAACTCATCTTATAAAAGATATTTGCATTGAAAAGATCTACAAACTGCTGACAAGACCCTTCATTGAATCAGTTAAGCATATTTTCTAAGGCATCAAAAGCACAATGCATGCACCAACATCAGCTGACCTCCTAAAGTCCTTTCAAACTTCAACTGAGATATAGTTTAATCAGGTCCAGTATATAAGTATATACATAAAAATAAGATGATGATTCATCAATAAAATAATAATTATCAAAATTAATATACAAATAAATGTATAAATAAACTTGTACAAAATTACACAAAAAAAGTAGATGCTATCGCTCAAAACCAAAGTTCCATACTTCATCTAGTTGGACAGTTGTGGTTTTAAAATCAGTAAAAAAAAGTACTAGGTTATAAATTCTACTATTTGCTCTTTTGTTTCCTTTTCTTGTTATTTGTACTTTGTAATATATTTTCTTTTCTCATGCATACTTGAAAAAAAATAATAATAAATAAATAAAATAAAATAAATACCAAATATGGAAGCATAAAAAAGAAAGAAATAAAAAATATTCAATTTTTTCTTTCCAAAAAATATCAGTTCTCAAATTTTCTATGAATCTGCTTTAGTTCAATCTTTTTTTTTCTGCAACCCCCAAAATATAATATTCTGAGATATACTTAAGGTCACCCCATACCCTAACAATAAATATCTGTGAACAAATTTACTTCCTATTATCCCTTCTTTTTCCCCCCATCCATAAAATCTGTGGAGGATACAATGCACTATTGTAAACAACAGCTGGCACTTATCAAGATGTTAATGTTATTAAATTCTTGTCAAAGTTATCATATAATAACAATCACCACAATCATTATTATTATCACTATTATAACTGTACTACTTGTAGTAGCTGTAGTAGCATTAGCAGCACTAGCAGCACTGGTAGTAGATGTAGAAATAGAAGTAAAAGTAGTAAAGTGACAACAGCAGTAGCAGCAAAAGCATTGTGAATAGAAGCAGAAAAAAGGAAGAAAATTAAGAGATTGCGACATTAGTAAGAGTAGGAGTAGTAAAAGTAGCAGGTGAGAACAATGGAGTACTGTCAGAACCTCTTCAACTCTTTCCTAACAGAGGTTTTGTGGTCTGGGTGAGGTCTTGACTTTTCTTTAAAATATTTGAAATGTGGGGAAAAAATTGGTGCCATTTATTTCCTTGGATACTTTCCCTGTTCTATGTCTAAAATGCTACTATTTTTCAAAAACAAACTGACGTACAGAAAAAAATATGTCGATAAAATAAGCTTCTCTGGCATCTATATATTATCGGGAGTGAATTATATAATATCTACTTTCCCCTTCCCTTCTTTACACACTTTATTCACCAACATTCATTCCAGTTTTCTAGGATTTGAAAATCACGCTACTACTGTTCTTCCATAGTCCATTTGTAGGTCTTGGATGATGAAAGCTGACTTCACAAGGATGACAAATTTTCATAGAAGAATAATACATCTAACTGCTGACCCACATACATGCCTTGATCTTTATGACATTACAACATACGATTTGTGAACTACAAACTATTCTGTAATTATTTTTTTTTTTTTTTTTCTTTTTTCTTTTTTTTACATGTATGTACAATTAGATTTGTGTACATGAACACACAATACAATACATACAATTACAATCACAACCCAAAACATTCTAACAACACTCAAAAAAGCCTACCCAGGTCGTATTTCCTTTATAATCTACACGCCAACTTTACATACCACTTCACCAAACAGCACTGCCTTGTTCATTCTTAAAGATGTGCATTTTTGAGAAAATTTCACCTGAATGTTACTGTATATTTTCCTGGTAAAAAGAATTATAAAAATAATAAATAGATAAGTAACATAAAAGTGGATGAGAAAAACTAAACACAGATCAAGCAGTTTGAATTATTTCATGCTATGACCACCATGCATGCTTCTCTTGATAATGAAAAAATCACTTCTCTCGTTAACTTTATCCACATACATTTTCTCCTCCTTTGTAAAATAATATATGAGCAAGCAAATCATCTTAAAATGTAAGTCATGCACTACTAAGTTCATTAAAATACACAACTAATTCCCTTTATGAACAACAACAAAAATGACAGAATTGAAATCTGTGCAACACTTTTGCTCAATGTCCCTCAACAGGATGTGTTCCTGTGCATGTTAACAGCCATGCATCATATCTCCTCTATCACAGATATCATTATCACAGCATACATCAACAAGATTCTAAAGCTTTAAGTCAATCTTTTACAAAATACTGATGAATCTGACTTAAAAATTTATGGAACGTGAGATTCTGGAAACAGTATCAAAATAAGTGATATCTCTTTATGCAGAACAAAATACAAGGGTAAGGGAAAAATTGCATTGCAGTTTTAAATACATGCCAAGCACACCAGTGATGCTATCAGTTCATGCACACACGTACCATTGCCTAAGACAGCATACAAGATCACAGAGGCCTTTCCCCTTTACAGCCCTCGCTATCATGCATTCTTGTAAAATACACATTCTTTCTTTTGTATTATGGAGTCTTCTTGCATAGAAATGTACAAGTTCTAGGCGTATGCAGAGAAATTCTCCCAAGAGCCAGTTACAGAGCCAATACACATGACAAAGAAAAATAGTGTTTCTGGGCATTTCCCTTCTTTCTCAACCATCTCTCTGCACACATAGGAAGATATTAACAGAACAGTTGTCTGCTTTCACAAAGAAAAAAGACGACGCATTCCTGACATTTCTGAAGTCTGCCATCTATCTACAGTGAGAATCTGATATCGTAAATCCCAAGACTATCCACCTATTCAATTCAGCTGGCTAAAAATAGTTTGTTTTTTCTCTTAAACCATCTCTAGATTCAATAATGCTATAATGATATACATATTTATATATATATATATATACAGGCAATACAAACTTGCTTTGATATATCATAAAATAGGAAGGCCATCCTCAGGCACTATCTTGGGAGGTACAAATAATCACAATTCTCTCTTAACCGAGCCTAATAGTCAGAAAGTTGCATGTGTCAGGGCACTCAATGCATACCTCGTGGCAGGGATGCTCAACTCTGATCATCGATGCGTAGTCTCTTGCGACCTGAGTCTGCTTTGTCATGTGGATCTGCTTCCATTACTTTTAAACGAGATCCAAGCACTTCTTGTCCATGTAACACCTGGTGAATGAGATAAATGTCTAGTATTATTTGCGATGTTCATTCAAAAGGCATTTTTTTATTGACAATCAAATCTCTTACATCACATTACCCATCAGACAGTGTCTAGGAATACTCAGATGATGTGAAATGGCACTATCAGTATCTGAACTAAAAGGATAGTATTCCAATAGTATCTGCATGGGTGTAGGGGATATGGGTCAAGTCAAATTATTTTAGTTAATCTTTTCAGCTGAGATATATATAGGATGTCATTTCACACCATAGAGTGTAGCTTGGGACAGTTAGTATCTTATGTTCTTGAACTCTATGAAATAAAGTATGACTTTCTATGCACAGGCTATAAATGACTTTATTGATATCAAGTGAAGTTTACAACTTATTGATAAAAAATCACCACTAGAGACATACCACAATTGCCTTATCTGCTGAATCTTTGCTAGCATATTTAGCATATCCGAAAGTTTTTCCGTTCAGCATATAAATATCAATAAGGTTTCCAAATCTTCCAAAGACATCCTTCAATGCATATATCGGGGTGGTGACGGATGACACACAATAAACAACCTGAAATAAGAATTCATGTTAATTAACACAATTTCGGAGAGAAACTGTACTACTTCTATAAAACACAATCAGAAAAGGGGGAAACCCATCCCATTTAAGTGAACGATTCCCTTCCCCATCTTCTCTCTAAATGAAGTATCAACATCTGTTTTTCCACTTGCCTTTCCGCCACTGCCGAGTCCACAGGTGCTAGAGGCTGTGGGGGAGGTAATTTGACTGAGCAGTAGGAGGGGTCATACGTCTCTCCACCACCAGTCTGCCCTTGAGTGCCCATGTTGTTGTGTCCTGCCGACCCTGAAATGAAAAAGCACATGTGAACCCAGAAAGCAATTTTTCATTTTCAATAGAGAATCTTAAAGCCCATCATACATATATGCTTATGGGTAGGCATCATAGGAAACTACTGTGTTGTGTGTGTGTGTGTGTGTGTGCGTGTGTGTGTGTGTGTATGTGTGTGTGTATGTGTGTGTGTATGTGTGTGTGTATGTGTGTGTGTATGTATGTGTGTGTATGTGTGTGTGTTGTATGTGTGTGTGTGTATGTGTGTGTTGTTATGTGTGTTGTGTGTGTGTGTGTGTGTGTGTGTGTCTGTGTGTGTTGTGTGTGTGTGTTGTGTGTGTGTGTGTGTGTGTGTGTGTGTGTGTGTGTACATGTATATATGTATATATGTATATGTATAAAGTATATAAGTATATAAGTATATAAGTATATATATATAAGTATATATAAGTATATATATAAGTATATAAGTATATATATATATATATATATATATATATATATTTATATATATGTATGTATATATATGTATGCAT